ATATATAAATATATATATATATATATATATATATATATATATATATATATATATATGGTAAAACATGTACAAATGTAACTATATGGTTTCTAGATATTTGCATGAAAAACAGTGTAATTACATTTAATATAATTGCACAAACACTATAGCTTAAATCACAAAAAAATACTGTACATTATTCCTTTAATACATGTCTACAATAATAATATAATACAATTGGATATGAATATCCCACATTTGTGCCATAATACCGTGTTACTGCAGTAAATCCATGGTAAATCATGGCGATTTGTAGATGGAAAAGTCCTCTTTAGTGTTTGCGTGAAACTCATCTGCGAGTAAACGCATTTGCACTAAGGAGCTCGTGCTGCGCTGCCGTTTGAACTTTGAGCTGAGCGGATAAATGCTCCGTGTGGACGGTTCAAATCAGTAGCGCGGTTTCGTTTTGCTTTTGGCGCTTAAACTTTACATCGAACATTTGTCGAACTCTTGTTATCAAAGAAAATTATATCGCGATAATTATCATTATCGTTTTATCACCCAGCCCTACATGACAAAGATTGTATCAGTCAATGTGCATGTAGTTTTAATGTTTAAATGGTTTAAGTTTAATTAATTTAGGGCTGCAACTAATGATTATTTTGCTAATCGATAAGTTGGCAGATTATTTTTTCGATTAATCGGTAAAAAAATAAAAAAATAAAACCTATATTCTTTTATTTTAATTTTATTGACAAAAACACACTATTCCACATTCTGCCCAATGTCCTTCGAACAAATGTGCCAACTGAATGCTATGAAAACATACAGTGTTTTAACAATTTATTAGACCACCTGCCATAATAGAAAAAAACACAAATATTTTAGGAATCATTAAAAATGATATTCTCATTTATTTGGCAAATAACAAACCGAAACAACTAAATAGTATTTATTCACATAATAACAAAAATGGCCTCCTTTCCAGTTGATAACAGCTTACATGCTTGCTGGCATTGTTTATGTACTTTTTGACTAATTGGGTATCTGAATAAAAAAAACACTAAAGCACTTGACTATTTTTTTCTGCCTGTCTTTCATAGATAACAGCAATAATTATATTATAGCAATAGAAATGGCCTACTACTGTTACTAAAGAGCTTACGCATATTGGAGGACTAACCAAAACAGAAAGCTAAAAAATGATTTAGGTAATTACAATACTGTTAGTTAAGAGCAGCAGTGGCACAACCCTTACAAAATTGGTTAAAAACCTTACATAAATTTGTTAATCACTGTAGGCTATATAGTGAATATAGTTGAAATCTCTAGATCAAAAATGTAAATAATAAAGATAATAAAGACGAATAAAATCACAGAAATTGTCTGCAGGAACACGCATCGCGTGCACTTTGATCAGTCAGTCTCCTCGTACTGTCATTTCTTTATCCTGTAAAAGCGTCTGACATTTAGGCCTATATTCAGACAATTACATGCTGCTGTTTCTTAACAGTTCCTACTCTCATAAATTACTCGCACTGCATGTTGAATTCTAAACCTAAATTTAATGTTCAACAACAGATATTTCAGCACAATGAATGTTTCTGCGCTGAATATTGTCTCCCTCTCTACTGTGTTCCGTCTGTTTAACGCGCGTGCCCGCCGCACCGGCACTCTTTCAGTAATGATTTCAACTTAACGCAGACTGTCAGGGCGGGCCTTTATGCAAAAATGGAAAGGGTTGTGTGAATTTGTGACATTTAAAGATAAGGATATGACCGTTAACTGAAAGTTTTTTGCGCTGAGGACGCACACACGTATCTATCAAAGTGCCTGACAGGGCAAGCCATTGCACTAATGCATCAGCTTGAAGCTTAAAATAAAGATTTCTCATGTTTTGGGCAGCTTGGATCATGTACTTTTCCTGCAGGAGCTCATTCCTAAATTTAATGTTCAACAACAGATATTTCAGCACAATGAATGTTTCTGCGCTGAATATTGTCTCCCTCTCTACTGTGTTCCGTCTGTTTAACGCGCGTGCCCGCCGCACCGGCACTCTTTCAGTAATGATTTCAACTTAACGCAGACTGTCAGGGCGGGCCTTTATGCAAAAATGGAAAGGGTTGTGTGAATTTGTGACATTTAAAGATAAGGATATGACCGTTAACTGAAAGTTTTTTGCGCTGAGGATGCACACACATATCTATCAAAGCGCCTGACAGGGCAAGCCATTGCACTAATGCATCAGCTTGAAGCTTAAAATAAAGATTTCTCATGTTTTGGGCAGCTTGGATCATGTACTTTTCCTGCAGGAGCTCATTCTGTTTCCTCCACTATTTTTAGATGCATTTTGTCCATAGAAATGTGTTATTCAGTGCTGTAATTTGATGCGAAAGTTGGACATGCACTGTGGGCAGACGCGACTGATCGATAATGAGAATAGTTGTCGATGATTTTCATTATCGATAATAATCGATTTTATCGATTAGTTGTTGCAGCCCTAAATTAATTAACGTATTTTTTGCTAGTGCAAGACAGCAAACACGCTCTTCTGATTGGCTGTGATTTGTTGTTGATTTTGTTACATGTAGTGTGGACAGACAATTTCAATTAGCTTGTCACTGGAATCTTATCACATCCGTTTAAGACACGGTGTAAAATACATGATTTCAACAAAGACAGCATGTGTACTCACCACCTCTGTAGAGGTCTCTGCGTGTTCTGAGGTCACGTGCTCCTGTAGAGATGTTTCCGTGTAGCCCATTTTACCACAGTAAGGACAAGTAAACGACTGAGGCTGCTCTACTGAGAATGCCTCCCCCCCATAATACAAATCTGCAGAGAGTTCAGATAAAAGTTAAACACAGTTCCTTTATTTACCTTCCCCATCATTACTAAGATTAGGGCTCAACAGTCAGGATGGTCTGTTCACATTCTGTAATGTTTTCAATTCATTACAATAGGGATGTAACGATTCACTCAACTCACGATTCGATTGACGATTTTGATTTCACGATTCGATTTTCTCAAAAAAAAAATTAACAAAATGAGAATGAAGACACTATACAGTAAATTAAAAGGTGTTGTTTTATTAGGCTATTGCTGCACGTTTCTTTGTGAAATTGAAATATAACAAAACTAAATTGAAATTTTAAAACAAACCCCAAATCAAACAAGTAAGTTCCACAAATAAAAGAAATCTCTTAATATGAACAAACTAAGGGTGTCCTCACACTAGGCACGGTTGCCTTGAACCGAGCGTGATTATCCCCCCTCCCCACTCCCCCGCTGGCCTGCACTCACACTTGCACTAAACTTTCCTGGCCGGAGCACGCTTACGCCATGTACGAGATTGCGGAGAAAACCACTTTCACTAATATTCTGCAGAATAATTAATAATAATTAATTTATAATTTATGTTGTGCATTGATTTTCACTTGTATGTATCAGAGAATTATTATGGAGGCAGCTGACATTAATTAAATTATTTGCAGCTTTACTCGCAAACTACATTTCCTGTTCATCAATAAGGTGAGAACCAGAAAAGTAGTGTAGTAGTAATAGAATATGTTTGTGGTTGTAATGATGACAGCGCACACAAAACAGTATTTGTTCCGTGCTCTCGTGCGGTTAGCGCTCACACTGCATGCATACCGCGCTCAAGCCCAACCGAACCGTGCCCTGGCCCACCTCTTCCAACCGGGCCAGGGACGGCTAAACGAACCGGAGCGCTCACACTAGTCAAACGAACCGGGTTTTGGGGGTCAAACGTGCTCGGGCACGGTTCAAAATGCCTAGTGTGAGTACACCCTAAGGCTTTGTCTGTGCTCTTTCCATTTAAAATTAGAGGCAACCACTGGATTTTAATCATGATCCAAACAAAGATGCAGCATACATGTTTTTAACAGTAGTAACATGTTTTACAGACTGTATAATTTCGAAATTTGAAGCAAAAACAGAATGGTCTGACTTTAGTTTTGTGAAACTATACTACATCAGGGCTCGACAATAAGGACTGCCCAATGGCCCGGGGGCCAGTGTGAAAGACGTTCGGGACAGTAGACGGATTTGTCACTTGCCCGATCGGGCCACTGCAGCGTCGTCACGACATTTGATCATTTGCATGTGCTTTTAAGCCTTGTTAATTTAAAAATTCAAGCGATTAAAAAGCATTTGTGCACGAAAGACAACTCCATCCAATATGCGCACAGCCACGTCTCTGACACGAGCGAGCCACCTGAACGGGCAAATACATATAAAAGTCAAAAAGACCCGTCTTGCCAAGTAACTTTGTAGAAATTATCAAGGTTTAATCTATATTTCCTTTATACAGTGGAGTACAGATGTACCGATCGACCGTCCATTTTTGTTTTATTTCAGACTATCTTCTGTTCCGTGCTTACTTGCACACAAACTGCATTGCAATCATTTTCCCAATGGCCATTTGTGTGGAAATATTACGTTATTATTATAATTAGTCTGTAAACGGCCATTAACAGAGGCCAGAGACTATGAAGACAGAAACAAAGAGGAGAAAATACTGTAGCAGTCAGAGCAAGATCACTGTTCACGATGCGCGAAATATAGGAAGAAAATCCAAACACTGAATTTTATATGAATGTGTTTCTAAGGAGAACTGGCTGTTTTTAGAAATGGCGTTGTCTTTGTCTCTTTATAATGCATTTAAATTAGTGCTGCTGTGGTTACAGCGGTAACCAAGGAAACGCTGTTTTACTGTTCCATAAGCGCCGCCTGCTGTCAGAGCGTGAATCTGCATCTCATTCAGCCCACCTGCTGTTTCTGTGTCATGCAGATGTTTTATGTAGCATAATTTCACAAAGCTAAAGTCTGATCACTCAGACTGCTTCAGATTTTGAAATTATACAGTCTAATAAAACTCAAACGTTGCACATGTATTGTTTTTCTTCTTCTTCCAATTCATGATTAAAATGCTGTGGCTGCTTCTAATTTCAAATGGTTATCAAGGTTGAACACAGTGAGAAGATTATGCAAATGTTATTTTATAATTTCTGTACCTGAACATACTACAAACTAGGGCTGAACGATTAATTGCATTTGTGATAATATCGCAATATGAGAAAACGCGATTTTTCAATCTCAGAGGCTGCGATTACATGGTCACGTGACATGCGAGAGTGAAGAGGTGTGTTTGACTTCAAAGTACAGAGTGTATGACATCAAAGTACGGCGAGCGAGAGAAAGCATAAGGAGATGTCCGCACTCTCTTATAGCTCTCGCAGTGCTTTGATGACACACCCATCGGTCTAAGCAGCGCTGCTTCAAGTCGAGCGCGGGCCATCAGCAGAAAAAGAAAAGAAATAAAACAGTAAACAGCCAAAGGACATAACTTAGAATAGGAGATGGATCGGTTTGTGAAAGGGAAGAGAAAAGCCATGGATGAAGTTGCACAGACCCAGGCAGGTGCTGATCATTCAAAAGCTAAATGCTGAAAATATGACGAGGCATATCTTGCTCTCGGCTTCACTCACTGTGTCTATACCGCACGCTACAGTTGTGCATCGCGCCGCAACAGCTCTACACTGAAGCGACAAAGCGACCGATGCAAATCATTTTAACTTCGTGTCAGAACGTCATAAATAGAACAAGGCATCAGTTTAATGTCACATCGCATCCAGTGTACACAGCATCACTGGTTATAATGGTTTCTACTGTATTTTGCCGCTCGCGTCCGGTGTAGACACGGTTTAATGTCGTTGGTGAGGAAAGCCTGTGTGTGTCCTATGCCTTAGCGCACAGCATGAAACCCACAAAAATAAAAAATAAATAACAGAGAGAGAATAATAATATCAGTTATTCTCTCTATGCTACTTTTCAATGTTTCAAGTGATGCAGGTGTTTTTCCCTGTAGTTGTTTTATATTAAAAAAAGCATTCATTTTTCAGAATGTTTAGTGAAATTATTTGGTAGTCTGAGGTGGAATGGGGATTTGAACAAGGGGGGCAGTTTTTTTTATAGGTTTAAAGCGGGGCGCGACCAAAAAAGTTTGAGAACCACTGGTCTAAAGTTACCAGACAGTGTTTAGTGCAGTCCACATGTTTACATGTGTTTATTACAGTGACTTAATTAATTACCTAAAGTAGTGTGGTAAAGCAACAGATTTGTTTTTATATTTCTGCAATCTACTTTAGTTTGTGTGATTTGTTACTGACTTTCATATTAATGTTTACACCAGGCTTAGTTGTGAGTGCTTTATGTTGTCATAATTATTACATGCTTACAAGGTTGGAAGTTCAACAAATCACTCAATATACTGTGATTGTAGTTGTTAAATAAAAATGTCATTCATATCAATTCATGCATCACCTAATTTCATCGTAACATATAGGCCTGGCCTACAGAAAAGAACATTTAGGTTTAATCTATCTAATAGTGTGTTGGTCACAGCCTGCTATACAGTGATTTATAGCTTGTCTTTGTTGAATAATACAGAACATAAAGAGCTTTAAAAAATAATTGCATATTAAATCGCAATCGCAATATTGGTAAAAAAAAAAAATCGCAATTAGATTATTTTCCAAAAGCCCTACTACAAACATAACCTAAAGCATCATTTCATTCATCTTTGTGCTAAAGGCCTAATATTTAATTGTGCTATTACTTGCAATTTGTTCATTTGTTTTTATTTACTGGCTGTCACTTGTCTTTAATAATGTTTAAACTTTATATTTATGTTTATTTTTGGCTAATGATTTTTGCTGTGGTATCGAAATTGAAATAGAGAATGGTAAAATCTAATCGGTATCTAAAATATTGGTGTCATATAAGCTTATTTATTAGAATACAAGATAAGATCAAAAACAATGATAACAGCAACAATTTTATTTTTTGTGGCAGGGCCAGTGAAAATGTTGGCAGGGCAAGTAAAAATTTTAACCACTGCCCCGACCGGGCCAGTAGAAAAATTCCTTAGCGTTGATCTCTGCTACATAAAACATATCTGAAGGAAACAGCAGAGGAGCTGAATGAGACGCAGATTCACTCTCTGCCAGCAGGTGGCGCTTATGAACAGCAATGATAGTGTTTCATGGGTTACCGCTGTAAACAAAGCAGAGCTGCACTTATGAACACTACTTTAATATGAATTATACAGAGACGAGATGAAAAGAAAATATCAACTAAACTTTTCTAAAGATAGTCAGTTCCCCTCAGAGATATATTCATATAAACTCCTACTCCAATTGTATCGCGATTTGTTTAGCATCTCAACCGATTTGAATCGTCACATTTGAATCGATTTCGTTACATCCCTACATTACAATGAAACTGATTTTCTTGTAAGGCTGATATTAAACAAAACTGACATTGAGATATTTAGGTTTTCTGTGATATTTATTGTGATATGAAAAAATACAGGAACGTTCACCTGATGACTTAAATTGTTATATATGAAAAGAATTACCCATTCCAGAATGAGTTGGGTCATTTGTTCCATTGTGCAATATAAAATTTTTATTTTTTTCTTTTCTTTTAGGCCTCCATGATTTGAGAGAAACTTTTTTTTTTTTACATTTGGGTCTCCACACTTGGGTTTACTCTTTACAAGAACCAACTAAAACCTCTTTCAATGACCATAAATTGAAAAGTTACACCAAAAAAGAAACTCTCCAACAAGCTTTCACAGGGCACATTCCCACTGTTTTTGACCAATCCTATAAAATATTAGGACTACTAGACAGTAATAATAATAGTGAATTTATTGTGATTATTATTACATAATATATTAAACAAAATCATATATTATAATATTGTAACTTCTGTATTGAAAACATTTTTTTAATTAAATTAAAA